TAGGCAAGGTAGCATAATGAAGATAAGCACGTTGCCGTACCTAATGTGTGTGCAGTCCACAGATTCCAAGTGGCAAAAATACCTTATAAAGTAATTCATAATAATCATATATACAGTTTTTAAGACACATTGGTTAAAGCTGTCTTTTTCTATTCGAGAGAGCACATTCGCGCTGTTTCTGCTTCTTTCGCTGAATGGCCATTGAAGTTCTGATAGAGTTGTGGGGTGCTCGGCCGACTCGATAGACAATTGACGCAATGACATTTGAAACCTCCTATATAGCACATCATGTTTGACCGTTGAATCAACGAACTCTCGGCTGGAAAACCCTCCTAACGATTTCATGAAACATGTATTATAGATTCCAACACCAGCTTGAGTATGCCTGTTTTTCGTAACTACTGCAAATCACACCATCTGAATGGTTTTTGAGGTAATAGTCTAAATTTACTGAGCCAACTAGTTGTAGTCTCTAACCTCTGTCTTCCTTCACAACAAATGGCTAGTAACACACTGCAGAAACGAGAGCCAACCAATACATGACATGACCAAAAGTGGCGAAGTATTTTGCTGCTCCGTATCTGGAATAGGTGTGCAACGCCTTACCTTGAGCGTAGGTGTGTGGTGGGCTAACTGAATTTCCCTTCCTGTCGAGTCCACTGTGCGGCCCTCGGCATTTAGGATGAGGGGTGTTGGCCGTCTGAAAATACGTGAGACAAGCAGTTGTAGGTGCACAAAGGGTCAATGAGCCATACCAAATTCGAAGCCATGCATCCTGCTATACAATGCATGGAGATTAAGCCGGAAGAGCATATTTATACCTGGATAAGCTGTCTTAAGTTACCACTTCATCTATGTTCAATCATGGCAATATTACTTTGGGATCCAAACTTGTATTATAAATAGTATTGATGCAATGTTGGCAAAGCCGGATACTAACTGCCTAATTAGCTTAACAATGTCACTTTTTTGATAATATTTAAGCACATGATGGCTTTACCTGGTGGTGCAAATTTGAGCACATCATAGTGAGGAACCATGCTGCCTCTCAACATGCTGGGCTCTGCATCATATACTGATACTATGAAATTTTCTCTATTTAAGTTCAACATCGCAAACATCCATTTTTCTTAATTTTTTATAAAGCATCCCATTGTACTTCGAGCAAAAAAAAAAAAAAAACATTGCACTGAGATTAATCCACACTGAAGCCCAGTTTGAAAAAGTACCATGTTTATACTCTTCAAAACTTGACTTTTTCATGCATTTCTTAAAGGGGAACTTTAGTGCATTTTTAATCATACAGAAATAATGCTGCTTTCAAATAGTATTGACAGTCCTACAAAAGCTAGTGTGGTTCATTTTGCCCAGGCAGGTCAATAATTTCAATTAAGCAATAAATGACAAATCAAAACAGAAACAGGGAGTTGCTCCGTCATGCATGATGGGTATCGGATGACGTCACGAGAATCCGTCACCGATGGCATCACGCGATCCGCTACACCCCGCCACTGCTGGCTAGGGCGTAAACGCAGCTCGAGTGCCTCTTTTGGTGCGCTAAAAGAAAGTTGGCGATGTCATCCGACACGGAATCAAGCTATGCCAGCTTATCTGAACTTACCAGCGACAAGTTCAGTGATGATTGCAGCTACTATCTGAGCGCAGAAGCATCGCCTTTTGATTACGACCCGCGGGCGTGTGAGGCATCTGACATGTCCCGAATCGATTTCCTTGTTGCTCAATATTACATGCAACACCCGACGTCAACGAGGACTAACATCCCACACATAACAATGTGATGTCATAGAATTTTGAAGGTGTATATTGGGTCCCACGTAGATAGCATCTAATCGATAAAATTGAAGTACATTGTAATCTGTGGCACCATAGACCTAGCATATGAAGTTTCAGAAAGTTTTATTGAGCCAATGTCGTGAAAATACGAAAAATACGTTGTGGGATTTCTTACGTTTTGCGTGGAGATTACAATAGAAACTTTTAAAATGAAACACTTCAACCTTGACTTTCTCTGCTAACAATGGACTTATGACAGTGAAACTTGTGACAATAGAGTCCTCAGAGTGCAGTTTATCAATCTAAAACAATTCGTTGTTTCTCTTTAGTGTCCCTTTCATTTGGCTGACATTGGCTTTAATTACTGACAACACACTATGACATGCAACTACAAAGAAAGTGACGATCTCTCACGTGGCAGCAGTGGCACCAGCAGTGGTTGCAATAGGCTGTTGAAGAAAGCCAGGCCGACTGCCCAGCTTAGCCTGGATCTGGGCTGTGAGCTCAGCGATCCGGCTGCGACTGTCTGCAACAACAGCGGCGACGGGTACCACGGCAAGCGGCATGCTGCCTCCCAGAGCCTTCTTGCGCTCTTCGATCATGCGCTGTGCATTGGCCATCATCTCGCGTATCTGCAGGCTGGTCAGTTGGCCGGGACTTGGCTGGCTCAGCATTGGAGACGGCATTTCGGAGAAGCGAGACTTGCGTGGACCGTCCTCGTCTGCCTGTGACTGACGCTGCTGCTTCGTTCGAATCTGCTCCTGAGCACCAGTCAACAGCTGCTCCGCCAGGGAGGCTGCCTTCGAGTCATCCAGCAATGATGACAGTTTCTCTGCAATGAAAGCGGGCCAGCCACTGTGGAACAGCTTTACTGAACAGAACGGATCGTCTGGTAACAAGAATGGCTGCTACAGCAACAATTACAGCCGAGCAGCATATGACTCTCTATATCATTTCTCTACAATTTGCAGTCACCTCCAATCCAGATATTGCAGAAAAAAACAGAAGTTGCTTGAGTGCAAGCTCCCGTATCTTCTTACTAGCAATGGTAAGTCACTGCTTGCCCCCTTCTAATTTCAGAAACAGAATTTTGTCAGGTAGTGCTTGCCCACAGATGAAGTGATTTTGCTGTGTTCATGTAAATGTTATTTATATCATAAGAGATCAAAGTTCTTAACAAAATTAATATCCAGATTAGTGTTGATGGCCTGATATCCAATAAAATTTAACAGTATGATGGGGCTCTATACAAAAAATTGTGTCATATATTGAACAGCTATGTCCGAAGATAAACACTACCTAGAACGAATAGTTGGATCATACTGAAGAAATATTGAGGGCGCGACCCAAATTGATTAAAATAATAAATAGACGCCCTATCCAGTCTCCTTTCTTTTTTTTTTGTCTATTTTGATCGCGTCCTAATATTTCAGATAAGCATTTGTTTTTCCTCTGGGTAAGCCAAGGTGTTAGGGCGCACCTTGCAAGATCTGAGGCATGGCTTCACTTTCGGAACATAGTTAAAATTCCAGCCAGTGGTCTTTTTATTTGTTTTGTAACCCTTTTTTTTTGTTAGAACATTATTCGGGCGTGCATTCCGCCTTCCTACCAGCTGTTTCTACAACTCCAGCTATTTATTGGTGTTATGACAATGAAACGCACATCTCAGCTACGCCCCTCGATAATCAACTTAAACGCATAACTAGAAACGTTTTACGTAATGAAACATGGTACGAATATTATGCCGGGGAAGTGAAGTTTCTGGAGTGAGTGAATACGTGGCAGGTTCAAGAATGCCGCCGCAATGCACAATAGGTGCCTGCGAAAGTTTCAATGCACAACACATGCACAGCAATGCTCCGAGAGTAGCTTTGCCTTGGGCACTTTCAACAATGACTATGCTTTCGCCGAGAAAACGGATGGCGCTTAGACAAAGCAGTTTACAAAAACTACTACAATTTGATCCCTCAACACCGACAGAAAAGATTCAGTCTGTTTTGGTTCACCGGAGAGAGCACTTAATGTTCGCTAATCATGCATAGATCCCCCGTTGAGCGGACGCAATTGACCGTCTCGTTCTACGAGCGATCTGCAGCCTTACTTGTCGTCTCTGCCTTGTCGTAGCCGCTTGACAGGCAGCTCACAGCAGTCGTTACCAGCGTCGGTTCCTCGAAGCCGAGAAATTTGTGCACTGTCCGGTCGACCCATGGCCGCAGCTCTTCGGCTTCCTTTCGAGTGAGGGCCATGTTCCGACTTCAGTCCGCACGCTGTCACGTACACATCTACGAGTCTGGAAACACTAACACGACTCTCGCAACATACAGAAATATATCAACACAGCCGTGCGACTCTTGGCTGATTCCAGAGGCTGTGAATTCAAGTGCACAACTGGAACAGACAACAAAACGCAACCACAACGCAAACTTTCAAAACAAGCGTGATACAACTGACCTTGTCTTGACTTGACTCTTTATCCTAAAGAAGACAGCCACTAAAGATGTGACGTGTATTTCATTACACACACAAAAAACGCTTACTGTTTTTACTAAACAGTTACTAGACCGTTTTATTGAACAAATCAGACATTTTTTTAAAGTAAGGTTGTAGCAAACGAGATTGTCGCTTGATCTTTACCAGAGTAGTTGCGTGGCTGCATTTATCCATACTTACTATGTGTACAATATGGCAGCCATTACGTCAATGAATGCAGTTATGGCCCATACTCTACCACAAAAGTGTATCCTTTGAAACCACTTTCCTTTCTTCGTGTTCGAAACTTATTTGAGCCTCAGAGACAATGAACGCTACTTATTCGTAGAATGTATATGTATGAAACTGTATGCTTCGGCACAATCTGTGGATTCGGGCAATAGACATTTTGTCCATATGTGTGACCTTTTGTACGCGAAAATTTTGAACGGTGACGCATGTCTATATTGTTTACGTGTGCGTATGTTCGTCGGTCTTGACTTCAACATACGATTTCGTAGAAAAAAGTAGCTCGCGGGCAAATCGCACGCGCATGATTTTGTTTTTCCTTGCCGTGCTACACGGAGAAAAGAATGAGCTTCTCCTTCTTTCATGCTGTACTAGAAGCATTTCTAGAACACTGTGCGCCTCCGGACACGCGTGAAATTTCACGAGGCAATCGCGGCGCCACCGCTGAGACGGGACGTTTTGCCTTGCCAAGAACAAAATAACGCATATTCATGCATTCCTTTTAATGAAAATAATCGTCAGTCTGTCGTACATACAGAAACACTTCTTTTACACGCAGAATGTTAGAGGCGAAGCGTGCCATTTCAGTTTCTCCGGTATTTCAGCACATATCAAAACGACAGCAACCACGGCATTTCTAGCAGCTCGATCACAACGGCTCCGTGGCTATTTCCACCAAAGCTTTCCCAGATCGCCGACTCCTCTGGACATAGCATCTAACACAGCTTTGAGGACGTTGAGATGAACCGCCTCAATGCTTTGTGTCGCGTCGACATTTACCCAACGACCACTGCCGCTATCTAGCGCAGCCAAACGATCGTAGTTCGCGCAAACTTTGGCTTGAAACTCGGCGTTCTCGTACCGTTCATTGCCGAAGCCGTCACGGGCGTGCAGCGCGTCAGGCGGCACACTCATGTACAAAACGACGTCCGGCTCCGGCAGTCCCCTGTCGGGCTGCTGGCACCACGCGAAATCGAGAGATTTGGCGGCCGTGAAGGCGACTCCGGAGTAGGCATAACGGTCACAAATCACCGTCCTCTGTTGCGCGACTGCTTGACGTATCGATTCGGCCTCCTGCCATCGATTGGCGGAGAACAGCAGGTGAACGGCGTGGTCGTCGAGGTTGGCGCCCTTTGAGAGATAAGCGTCGAGCAGCTTGCCGGTGGCGGTGCTGCGCTTGGGGAACGCTATGGATTCGGTCTTGTGGCCCAATCCCGCCAAAGCCTCCGCGAGCAACTTGACTTGAGTGGTCTTTCCCGTCCGATCACATCCTTCGAACACGATGAACAGGCCCCGACGGGTCGACATTTTCGCGGCAGCTGCGTGTTTCAGAATACGAAAATGGCGCGTTGAGCGGCGTTGAATTCCCGCCAAAACATTACGCGCGCACTTGCAATACGCATATTTACAAACACCATCAATTTAAAATGTAAAAAGCGGAAAGAAAAATAATTACAAGCAAACGGGCTACAAACATGATTTAGCAAAACGAAACCGGAGACTGAATAAAAAACGCTTAGTGTTGCAAGTAAACGTTGCAAAAAACCATTTTTGTTTAAATTCTGCCACACGCAGCGCTTTCTGCAGGAGGTGAGTAAAATTTTCTGAGTTTAGCTATGTTCTAAAGTGCTTGTTGCTTCCCTGAAAGTTGTTGTGAATAGAATATTGAAATTTTATTGTAAAAAACATTATGTATGGAATTACCTTAACACAGCATATAAAATGAAGCCATTGTTTGAGAGAAGCACGTAGTATATTTCACAATTCTGTGAGCTGCAGCAACTCAAATTGTCGTATATTATTTTTTGCATCTCATTTAAAATCATGCTTACTTTTGACAGTTAATAACTCCTGTAGTGAACAGGCTAATAATAATCTTCGCTGTATACTTTTTTTTTGTTTCTGCAACTTTATTTTAAAAATTAATGATACATTGAATCACCAGCTGGTTACGGCGACATCTGTGAGATTTTACACCAACATATCCTGATGGATTGCCCGCGACTCGGAGCGAGGGACCTACCCAAGATAAACCTGGCGGAATATCTGGGTCTCCCAGATGATCCCGTCGACACCCGAGTCGAACACACCGAGAGTGCCAAGCGACGTCTAAAACTCTGGGACAGACTGTGCTGGCAGGTGGACAAACACCCCGACAGTGTCCAGCGCAACGAAGGGCCGACAGAAAATATCTAAACCATGACCTACTACACTCCTGACCTGTTCAGATAGCGGGGTTCCTATGGGAGCGCGTGTCCCCGCTCTCGTTCAATCGCTCGCCGTAGGTGGCGCTACCTATAACCTGTTCGTCTGCTACTTTACGGCTGTTTGGACGGCGCTAGAGTAAGAACGGCTGCATTCCGTGATGAACAGCCGGCATATATGTGACTATTTTTTCACTTAGATGACTGGTCAAGTAAGCTGTTCAGTGTGACGAAAAATTTATTGCACACTGGTGGACAAATGCGAGAATCCGTAGACTTACATAGTGTAGGACAGCATATGTGATGTTGCGTCCATTTAATTGCAAAGAATTTGTGAATGACTTTTGAAATATTTGTTTCAAAATTATTTTTCATTTGTGCATAATAATTACGCAATATGAGTGCTCTGTTGGCCGAAATATGACCACGAACACTCAAGCTGACGTCAGCGAACAGGTGCTGACTAGCGCCACAGTGCTCCTAAGTTACGGCCCTAGCGGCAGAAGGTATGAACTAGAACGTGGGCGCTGGAAGAGGTGCTCTCTGGGCAGGTCAGGAGTGTAGTAGGTCATGATCTAAACGACGCCGACGCCACTGGATAGACTTGGCCGAGGGCACGTTTCCCCTGGTGGCGAAACTGGCAATTTACTACCAGACCTTTCTTTCTTCGAACAGTAAAGTGGAAAACGTGTGAGTGCGTGTTCGCGTGAAGTGCGTGTAAAACACAAAATGTTTTTTTTTTTTGACGGTGGCGCGGCAAGCGCCTGACTGGTGATGTGTGTGTGCGTGTGTATGGATGTGCGTTGAAGCGCACAACTTTGTCCTGTGGCGCTGCTGGCGCCTGCCCTGTGCCAAAAGGGATTAGGAGCACCTACTTACTTACTTACTTACTAACATAGAGCGTTTTTGCACACCGTGACAGTGATGCACAGCAACCATGTCCGCTGATTGCATACCATGGAGGCTGCGCAGCTAGGCGACGAAAGTGAGATGTCACCTAGCAACCGAAACCGAAACACGCGCGCATCGTTTCGTTTTTCAACAGCCGGCGACAACGTGCGCAATTATGACGGAACCAGAGCTCCTGCTGAAGGCGAGTCCTCCCTAACGCACATAATTAAGCACACCCCGGAAAGATGACACAACCACCTTTCTTTTACAGACACGGATACACTACTACTGCCGAGAGAAGCATTTCCGCAGCATGCAGCGGGCTGCGGTGGAGGGCCTGAAGCGCTACTCGGGAGATCCAGTTTATCGTCTTTACTTTGGAATGTCGTTGATTTTTGAAGGTATCGTCTTTTTTTTTTATTTGACTGACTGTTAACTGTGAATACGCCACTCGATGTTTCATATGTTTTAATGCTGCTTTTACGCCTTGAAGGTCGTCTCCAAGAAGGAATTCGAGAGTTGGATGTGGTCAGGGAGAGCAAGGATGTATCTCTCGGAGGAATCTTGGCCTTAATCTTCGCTCATAGGAAATGTAGCGTCGTTGGTGAGTTGAGGACCTCTGTACAATTATACTCATTAACATTTAAAAATCCAATTTGAACATTAATTTTTCTGAAACTTTTCCACCCAGACAAGGAGGCCGTTGCTCAGCTTGATGCGCAGCTTAAAGAGACAAGAAAACAAGCTGGAGAAAAAGTAATATATTCAGTGCGATACATATGCACGTATATTCACTAGGATTGGTGTTGCAAAAACCTCGACTTGGTCACAGGTGTTGTACTATGCTGGCCTGTTCCTGTTCCTCACTGGAAAATATGACAAGGCACGAGAATACATTGACCGTATGCTCAAGGTGGCACCACCGACACGTGATGTGAGCTCTGCAGATTAGTTTGGTTGCACACATCTTTAATTTAATTTCTTTACTCACACCACTTCTATAATCATTGATGGTTGAACCCTGGCTTTCTTTAAAGGGACTTATACTGAAAGGATGGAATGAAATTGCCAGCACGAGGGACAAAAAATCTGCAATCCAGTTCTTTGAGTCACCCGGAGTGTAAGTTGCGCCAAGACCTATACTCAGAAAAAAAAACATCATTTCTTTTTGACTAGGTTACTATTAATTTTTTTTCAGGAAAACATTTGATGGATTACTGGATTGCTAAATCAGTATGATTGATCTTACTCTAGTCTAACAAGAAAACATACATATATCCATTCTACCCTGTACATACTTGTCCTAGCAGTAACAGACAATGATGCCAAGAGAAGTTTAGGAGCATTGTTAATAGTCATTGTAATTTAAATGTGAAGAAAGAACAGGAGAGGAAAATATAACTTGCCTCTGGTAAAAACTTTGCAGCATCCTTTCAGATTTGCACCCTGCCAGTGGCAAGTTATCTTTTCATACATTTTTTTTCTTGACATTTACATTACAATTACAACTGTAACATCCTCTGTGCTTTCCTTAGCATCACTGTGTGTCCAACAAAGAAAAATGAGCCCTTATATTACGAATTATTTTGTACATATTTTTTCTATATAGGAATCGAGGTATGTCATCAATGAACCAGAAGCAAACAGGACAGGTTGTATTAACAGCAAGCCATCAAAACTGTTAAGAGCCATTTCCTCGAAGTAATTCTTAAATGTTACTTCTATCCTACGTCTCTCTAAAATAAAGCATTACCTTTAATTTACTGAACAGCTTGTCACAATATTCTTCAAACGTTTTTGTGAGCCGACTGGTTGATAGACTATCAGAGCATGTTACTTAAAGGGCAATGGCCTTGCAAGGAATGCCATTGATAATGACCGTTCCTTGCGACAGTGCTGTCCCAGAAGGACTGTTTGGGAAAGCCAAGTGCTTTGAGTGCAGCGGAGAACTCATGAAAGCCTTGGAAGTGGTCAACCAAGCAGTGGTCCTGTACACTGGCTTTGTCCCCGCACTACTTGAGAAAATGAAGATTCACCTCGCGCTCTCCGACTGGGAACAAATGGTGGACTCTTGCAACAGGTGAGCCACCAACAATCACACAGCATTCTCTCAAATTTACAACCTGTTAAGCTGCTTGCATTACTCTTATTTTTTACAGGAGTGTAAAGCATTTGTTTTGGTGTTCTTTCCACTGTATGTATATACAATATGTGCTGTAGTGTTGACTCGCAGTAATAACTATTGGGGTTAACCCAACCACATAACGACTGTGAGAGACACCGTAGTGAAGAGCTCTGGCAATTTTAGCCACCGTGGATATCTTAATGAGCCTCTATTAGAATGGGGCCACCGCAGCTGTGATTCAATCCTGCGCCTTCGAGTGTTGTGTCAATTCCAATTAAACTGCCAACACACAATGGTTGTAGTAAGAAAGATACTTCATAGATGAAGCAATTCAGAAATATATTGCGAGTTATAGACTGCTCTGCACAAGATTTTTTTAAGATCAGTTGTGACAGTAGTACAATTTCAAATTTCTTAACAGCATGGATTGCATAAAAAAGTAGGAAATGCAAAAAAACTCCTCTGAGCTAGTTCATTAGTTCATTCATTTACTTTTGCATTTCCACTTCGTGAACAAGTAATGTTCACCGCTTTGAACAAGGTACCTCAAGTATAATAAAAATTGTGCTTGTAGGTGCTCTTTGAAAACTGTGTAGCGAAGCTCTTATTGAAATCAAGTGTATGATATAGAATTTCCATGCAAGTAAATAATTTTTATTTTCTATTTGTTTTATCATTAGTGTAGGCCAAAACCATAAAGTATAGAGTGTTCACTAAGTAAAAATGTTACAACAGTTTAACAGACATCTTCAACCGAAAATTAAAAACTTAAGGAAAGGAATGCTCTGGGTCTCAAAAATTGATTGCTTCTAACATTCTTGAATTTATCTATTCACCAAGCTTTACAAACGCATTGCCATTTTTTGGGGGGTATATTGGTAAATGAAACTTGAAAACATACCAGGCGCAGGAAATAGGGACGGAAGGATGACAACGACTAAATTCAACAATTTTATTTCTTGTGCATGGATTCACTGTGCAAAAATAAATAGTTTGGTGTTTCCTGGAAACAATAATGTTGAAATTATCGCATTGTATTGTCATCTCCCTTCTATACCTGTTTGCTAGCGCTCAATAACATGTTTTCGGGTTTACAAATGCTTCTGCTTCATACTGGCACTGTTCCTCACAGTCTTGCTTATTTTTTAAACTTCTCCATAAAAACACACCAGGAACAAATTATATGCTAAGGTTGCTCTTGCCAGAACGAACTTTGATCATGCTCTAGATGATGTAAGGCACCATTTATGAAACATCTTACTGTAACTATTTTTCAAATTTTTTCATTGCTAGCAGGTCTAAGCAAGGGAATGGCATGGACGCTGGAAACGCCATTCAGCTGTTCATTTTTATTTGTGTTTTATCTTAATCAAGTTCATACTTTTACTGGTATACATCGTTCACTTCAATTCTCCATTAAAACTCTAATATCAAGAGCCTATATCCTATGTATTTATGAGTTATGGAAAAATAAACGACTGTTATTAAGATGCCCTAGCAGTTCACTCATTCCTTAATATAACCAATTATTGAATATAACCAAGCAAACATAAGATGTTGCCCATTATTATCAATGTGCAATGAATATGTGCCTATAATGGATATCAGTCAGATAGAAGAACATAAGGAATTCAGAATCGACTTGGTTATAAAAAGGTGTGACTGTATTTATTACCCAGGTGCCTCTCACAAGACTCAAAATGCATTGACGCCCTTCTGCACCTCGTATTAAATCAGATATGCAAAAATGGAGACTACAAAGAGGTAAGAATATGAACACCCCTAATTCGGGCACAAAACAGGGAGCAGTTATTTCATGGTACTTATTTTGATCCAAGTATTAGCCCTACCCAAAATATGGCTTCAGAAAGCTCAAAGACCATCATTTAAGAAGAGACACTGCAAAATTTAGCAGTATGCCTCTGCTGTAATAAACCGACACAGTTACCACGCACGTTTCTGCAGACCTTGTTCAGTTTTCAAAATGTCGTGTGTTGCAGTCATCTTTGCATCATACAAGAGACTTTACGTGAGGGATAAGTGACTGAGTAGAAGGACATGTTTTTCTTCATTGAATTACAAAAGAACCAAATATGGCCATAGCCAGATACAGTCTTAGAAGGCAGCTTCTCCTTCTCAAAGGTACACGATTACGAGCCAGCACTAATAGGCACGCTCACAGACTGATGTCGTGAGCTAGATGGCCTCTGAATGCACTGTCCAACTCATGAGCTGGACCATTTCATCAGTCTCGTCAGCAATTGGCCGTCATGCTTGGGTCATCTAGGTGGTGCCTCTCCTGCCTTCTTAAGTTGCTTCTGACTATAATCTGTAACTTCACATAGTTTTGTAGAGATACTATAAAGACTCCTTTTTAAATAGTATATTTGTAGTCCCAAGCACCACATTTGTAAGCAAGCATTGTGCACATAAGCTTATTCAAGATGATTAAGAAAACAGCTTGAAGACATGTTGATGACTCCGTTGTCTCTTCCGTCTTCTTCGTTTATTCTTAGGCATCTGACAGGTTGTCGGAGCTGGTTTCGCTGCTTGAAGTAGTAGAACCAACCAACGCAGTTTTGTATTACAGGATAGCTCAACTACTGTCACGAATAGTAAGTACTGCAGAATTATGCCATTTAAAATTTCGATTGAGGAAAAGAACTGCACTTTAAAAAAAAAGCACTGTGAGTGCATTCCTTGTTATGTTGTTACTATCAAGCACCTTGTGTGACATCTGGGTCAAGCTTTAGTGCAGTTCACAGATGGACGATGTAGGGTACTATCACAAGGCTGCAAGGACATACAGCTGCGAGTAGAATATGTGAGTATAAGGCAACGTTGCATGCGACCAAAATATAACCTGTGTCTTGTTGACAATGTGAGAGATGTGCAAGTATAAATTTATGAACAACATGTTACAGGCAACACAAGTAAACATACTGTTTACAAGTCACTGTCTCATGCTAACTGCTTTAAAAAAAAATGAGCCAAGGGAAACTTGCTTCATCTGAAATGTGCCTGAAAATTAAGGTACGTTACACATGTTACAAACAAACATTATTGAACCATGACACTGGCTATTTTTGAAGTGGCTCTGCCATCTGTCAGGACTTTCTAATACAAGAAAAGCTTGCTATATGAAGGGACGAAAAACGAAGTGAACATGGAACTGTTGCAAAACATTGAGGCATTGTGCCACGCTAAAAATACATCTTCACAGTTGGTGGAGAGACTATGGGGCCATTTGTAAATGTGCGCACCATGACCATTGCGATAAACAGTGCTCACAAAAGAATGTGTGGCAGTGCGATTGTATGCACAAGAATTGTCTGCCTCACCAGCAACTGATGGCTAGGATGGACATCATTGACGGCAGCAAAGACGAAAGGGAGCAAAATAGCGGTTTACTTTTTGTTCACTCTGGCATGGGGTTTGTATAGAGAGTGTATGAGATTTGTTGATAGATGCTGGGCTAAACAGGACCCTATGACAAAGATTTCGGACTTCAGTGCCTTAGAGTAGACATGTTTTTCCCTGTGTTTATTCAGCCGGGCATGGCATCAGAGATTTGTGCACTATGAATCTGATGGTCACTGTCGGTTAAAATAATATATACAGAAGACAATGTTACCTGTCATAGCACATCATAACAACCATGCTCCTGAAATAACTAGAACTGCATGTCTTGCACTATTGTGTAGTAGCTGTAGAGGCTTCATAGTATTACCCGGTACTCTAAAGCCTGAGGTCACTAATGCCACATATTTCTCATTGTAACCGGGGCAGAGTTCGAGGCAAAACTGCATTGTGATGCACACACAAGGTCTCATAGAAAAGGCATGTGCCTTGCAACCCGCCAACGCAGACTACCTGGCTGAGCTTGGCTACCAGTTCATCTTGCAGAGTAAAACCAAGGAAGCCACCAAGCACTACAGGGCTGCTCTCAAGGCCGATGAAGCTAGTATCATAGCTCTTAATGGTAAGGGTCTCATTTATTTCTCCTTTCCATCTTTAACAGTGGAGCTGTTTAGGCTGGAGGTAAAGCTGTTGATGTCCACACAAAACTCGGCGGGTGTGCGCCACAGAAAGCACGTATGTGCCAAGTGGCTCCTAGCATAGCATAGCCACGCATAGTAGTGTAGCAAGGGAGTGGGAAAGAGAAGTTGAATGAGGAGGAAGTAAATGAGGAAACAGAAAAGGGTAAAGCGGATATGTGCCACAGAAAGTGCATGCATGCCAAGCCGCTCCTGGCATATCTCCATATATGTACAGTATAGCGAGGCGAATGGGAAAGGGAAGTGAAGGTGACTGACGCTAGAGTGAGATGAAGGGAAAGGAGGTGAGCGGGTAAATTATAGCACAACCAGGTACAGTATAGCACAGCAATTGGTGGGAAAGAGAAGTGATGTGAGAGTTAGGAAGAGGTAAAGGAGAAACAGAAGGCATTATAGAAAGGGATAAAGAAAGGTGGGAACATGAAGAAGAAAGAGAAGATGAAGAAAGAACTAATTATGCATTCGCCAGCTCCGCTGTTTAATGTATAAACATAAAACTGGCTTTAATATTTTTGCGTGTCAAGCAGTAGCTGTGCTAAAGTGTCATCTGATATAAAAAATAAGTTTATACAATTAATCATGGTATTTCTATGCAGGAATAATTTGGTGCCAGCTGCTTGAGGGCCAGAACGATGTTGCAAATCAGCAGCTCGAACTCCTCAAGGAAATCCATAAGACGTCCAGCATGCCATCGGTTCGTGCTTTCCGTGGCCTTACTGTTTATCAAGAAGATATTGAAATGCACAAGCACTTGGAAGAAACCCGTCAATGTGTATACAGACCACCACTCTACTCACAACTTAAGTTGCGAGTGAAGCACTCCACTGTATACTTTTTGAAATGTTTCGTCTGTGTGACAGTGTGCTTCAATATATCTTCATTTGAACTTAACCAACTTGCTGTCCTATTCCATTTAGTTGGTCGTGCACCCTAGCTGTAGAGCATATGCATTAAATGGTCAATATATATTCCACCAGATATAGCACACAAATTTCACTATCTTCAGAGATTGTTACATTACTTGAATGTCTGTTCAGTCAGCATTTAAAACACATTGCGAGGCATTGGAACTGAGACCTATGGAAGCTCACAAGAGGGCAAAAAAAGAAAGTGCTCGCATTATCTATTGCTTTTCTCAATTGTTACCAGTTACTCTGTTCTTTTTAAATTACATAGAGGATATAGTATAAATGCATAAGCATTGTATCTATCTTTGCTGCTGAATGTGTGCAGCCAGACAAGTGCCACATGTTCAATATCAATGTAACCAAAAATTAAGAAACCACTTACTTTTTTGTGTGGTCAATGCAGGAGCTCTTGTACCTATGTGCCCTGTGTGCACAAAAGACACAAGAGAAGCCAGAGGAGGTCCTCAACTACCTAGGGCAATCTGTTGACAACCATTTTGCAAAACTGGAGGTAAGAACACTGCAGTGGAATGCCTTTACAAAGAAGACCTCAGGACCTTCAGAATGGTTCATTATAGAGGTCACTATGTTCATTTGGTTTCATACCGTAATGGTAAGAATAAAACTAAATTGTAAAAAATTATTTGTCAATTCAGAGAAGTGGTGTTTGTTGTAGATGCATTTGACTATATTCTGATAAAAAACTGGAAATAACAATTGTGAATCATCAAATAAAGATACATCACGAACAAAAATGTAACAAAAATATTATTGTCAAAATACTTTTTCTTTAAAACAGTATATATATAGGATAACACAGTATAGAAAAAAAGAAAGAATGGCAATTTTAAGGGCTTTTTTTTCTTTTTTAGGCACAGTATTAATAAGAACTGAGACCGGCCATAATGCCAGGGCTCTATAGGGTATGTTATTTGTAATAATTATGACATAAAAGTGAAGAAAGTAAATAGGATGAAAAGATAAATTGCCACCAGCTGGAAACATACCTGCAGCATTCAATGGCTGTAGGTTTGCTTGGTTCGATGCTCTACCAATTGCCGCTACAGCTCAATTGGTAGAGCATTCGAAGGTTGCAGGATCGGTCCGTGCCGGTAGCAAGATATCATTGCGCCCAATTTACTTTCTTCAAATTTCTATCATAATTATTACAAGAACACTCTATACTTTCCTTGATATAATTGTCTGCTAGTTCTACTTAACAACAATATGTAGTAAAAGATGTAAGGCATTATTAATAGTGGTGTGAGAATATTCAAAATTTTGAATACTTTTTTTAATAGTGTTCGATATTCGATTCAATTTGCACCAGAGTTTTACTATTCGAAATATTCCTACATCCCGGAGACATACAGTTAAAGTCGATTGACGATGACCTCTTCAGGTTTTTAATATGATTCACCCCATTACAAACTTGTATTGCAGCAAAGCTATCTTTTTGGCTCTGCTACAATTGCAAATGTATTGACCCAACAAAACGTAGGTGCCAACATAAAGACGGCAGATGTGGCAGAGGAAGGGGCTCAGTTAACACTGTTGTGAACCCGAAATTTAGGCAGCAAGCTCAGAAAATTGGACGCCGGAAATTTCTAGCGTCCAAAATTTCAGATGTTCTTTACATTGACATCTACGAGACAGATTTGGAACTCCGAGCTCAAAAGGAGCTCACCTTTATCCGTCACATCAGTTGGACTTCCATGGAATTTGAATGAGGAGAAGAGGCCGAGAAAACAGCATCTTTGCCTTTCACTTGTAAAGTGTTGTCAGCAACAATTTAGTTGCACCTAATCATGCACATAAATACAATTAGGCCTCTGCATTGCCTCATATTTGATAGAAATATGAAATGCCACCCCACCAGCACTTTATAAATCTAGCCAGAAGAAACACCTTTAGGTTGCTATCTCATTAGAATATACTTCATAATCCTCTCCAACATATCTTTCTGCAATTTTGCTTTCAAGTATTCAACAAATATCCTAGAAATATTTTTAAAATGTTTGATTCGATGTGCACTCACACTTCAATATTTGAATTTGCTCCGTACCCAAAATTCTGCTATTCGCACAGCTCTAACTATAACAAAAAAACAATGCATGATAGCATGACAAGAAAACAAGGAGCTTGAAATGACAGTAGGAAACTATGAAGTGGGCTTTCTTTAGACTATTTTCTTTTTTTTGTATATTATGCCTTTGTTTTCTTGTAACACTACCATACATTTCATAGTCTTCAACCAATGTTCCCAGCAATGAATTCTATGACTAACAAATACCTCTCTCTGTCTGCTGCCTGGACAACTAGGGCCTTCCACTGGGAGCGGACTACTTGCTTCTTCTGAATCCAGACTTCATATTTGAAGTTGTGAAGCTATATCTGCAATATGCTCCCGATAAGGCAAGTAAGAGAGAGAATAAACATTCTTACTTTGTTATTCTCCAAGTGTCGTCTTCGGGGTGGTCTCCCCCTTGAGGCAAGTGACTCAATAGGCAAGGTCACCATAAATTAGTGAATTTTACACACATTTATGAGAACGCTGACAGCCACTCGAGGTTTTCTTTTTGCCCTTTAGCCTGTCGAGTCTGGACAAACGATACCCGAGCCACTCAAGAGGGGACAGGCAGTGCTTCAACCAGTTCTAAGGAGTTGTCCTGGATCTGTAGAGGCAGTTTATTGGATGGGAAAGCTCAAGTACCTGTCAAGTAAGGGTTCCTGCATAGTAATGATTAGGTTAATTAAGCTAGATTGTTCAATCATACTTTTTGAATCTTCAATATAAGATGATGACTTAGGTCGCTGGAATTGTTCTCTCTGTTCTTTTTATGGACGAACGAGATGCATGAATGTGTGGCAATATTGTAAAAGTTGTGAGGTCACACGGATGCCATCAGTGGCATTGCTTTGACATGAAACTTGAGAAATGTATTATGCTCCATTTTGTCCAGAGGCTTGTGAAGTGTATGGCATATAAGAAAAAAGATTAGCAGAGAAAGCTGTGATGTGATGACCCCTGTATAGCTGCCATTGTAGCATCTAAAAACTATGACAAGTCTCCCAGTTCTCAAGTATAGAAATGCCTTTATTAATCATAAGTGTGGCATAGAATAGCTCCATATGACAATGCAAGCTAATACATTTATATAGTGAAGGCTGTTGATCATATGTTCGTGTTATTTATTGTGTGTCATTGCTTAATTTCAGTAGGCAATGGATGTAGTTTAGTGTGTTACATCATATAACTTCTAACATAGTTTCAATTGCCAAAGTATTAAATAAAATACCCTGCTTGGTACCTATGAACCTATGGCATGCACAGTTGTTACATAGCATTCCTATTAAAGAAATCGCCATCGATGATTATCATGATAGAGAAGCGGAGTGACTTATTACTATAAGCCTTCATTTCTTGTGCCTGTCACAAAATGTTGTCCACTTCACTGGTCTCACACATCGCAATGTTTTGTTTCCCTACGTTCACTACAGCTCGAGAAACCAAAATTTGCACTGTGACAACTAATGATTGCTGCATGCTGGAAAATCTTAGAATTCCGTAACATGGTGAGCAGGCAGTGGCTTAAGGTACGATTGTCCATTAAATAATTTCTTTACTCCAGATGACTTGGTACAGGCCCAGTCTCTGCTCTCAAAGTGCACACAACAGTACTCTAGCTTCACAAGTGCACAGCTGCTGCTGGCACAGATGCATATCCACCAAGGGAACATCAAGATTGCAAGCCAATTACTAGAAACAGCACTGAGCTACGACTTCGAGGTAGGAGTCCTTACTTTCCAAGACACATAATTTAAATAGCCGTGCAATCTCATCATGTCATAAATGCCAAATGATGTTCAGCATAGCCCACACATAGTCATTATCCAATAGTGCAAGCTTAGAGGTAGAGACTAACTTAATGTTGTTATGATTGTGGAAGCGCAGTAGCTATCAGTATGCACTTTCTGGAGCAAAGATTGATAGCTGTTGTGCCTTCAGCAAAACTGCAGCAGTTTGCTCGAAACTACAGAGTTGAAGTTATAGAGCAGATTACACAATGCTGAAAGCTCGTGGTAGTATTGTTATGGCAGTTATAAAGAGAAATAAAATAAAATATGTGAAACAGAAGGGATACAGTCGCCGACCGATTTTTCGGACCTGGCGGGGACCGAAAAAAAGTACGAAAAATCGAACAGTCCGAAAAATTCGTTTTCGCCAAAAATTTGAAGTTTATTGCATCAGGCAGGTTTAAAAAAGTCCTTGATGCTGCCTTGCCTCAAACTACGCTTTAAGGCAATTTGGTTTGCCCGTATTTGCGCCAAGGTGACATCGTCGCCGTAAACGCTCGACAAAATTGTCACCGCGTTGGCGATCTCCGCCGCCGACCGCCATCCGGCGTCGACCGTCATCCGGCGACATCTAGCTGCGAACGTCTACTCTCTATTAGCTTGATTATGGCAGCTTTCTTCTCCATCGTCAGGGTCGTATACTTCCCACGCTTCTTCACACCAGCTGGCTCCCGCGATGGCACAGATAGCGGAGCCATGGCACCGAGAACACAAAATTCGATACCGCAGATAGCCGCTGCGAAGCACACAACGTCTCGACGCTACGCGACACAACACGTGCAGAGTGGCGACTGAAAAAAGCTGCAACGACAATAAAAGAATCCTTCTTTCGCCTCCTCCCCGTGAGATGTGATGACGATAGTGCTGACCGAAGACGAAAAAACGGCATCCATCACCGCGTCTTTCAAAAAGCAAACACGGCCTCCGAAACTTAAAATATGGCGTGCGCATTCCAATCTCGGAGGCAGGAAAAGCATTTGAAGACCAAGCTTAGCCAAGCCGACGGAAAATCCAACATGGCGGCGTTCACAATGGCTTGGGGCGTGGCACAAAACGAGCGATTTAGTCCGAAAAATCGAACTTTCAGGGGCAAATTCGCCCGAAAAATCGGTCGAAACAATGCATTAGCTCTATGGAATCCCTGACGGTGCATTTATCAAGTCCGGAATATCCAACAAGTCCGAATTTTTGGAGTCCGGAAAATCGGTCGGCGACTGTATAGGGTCCATTATGCTCTCACCTAAGATTACTGGAAGGCTTCTTTTTCTTCTCAATCATATTGTTCTTGCTGTGCCACCTTCCAAAAGCTTTTCTACATCTAACGTGATTTAGCATTGACTCTTGAATCGGAGGCACTGCACTTGATTTTGCTCTGCTTCTGAGATAGACCCACCAGGCTATGATGCCACGTGATGACGGTATCATGTGACATCATGATGGCGACATAGTGGCATTACAAATTTCAGCGATCTGTGACATCATGGTGACGTCATGTGGCGATGTCATCACGTGATTATTTTTTGCATCCCTCAATTTGATACCAATGGAACATGCTGACATAGGATGCTGGTCGATTTTCGTGTCTGATGAGGCATCTAAGGGTTTTGCCTTCATTATAGATGAGAGGCTACTCTGCAACGAGGAATGGGAGAACTATAGAAAGCATCAGAATAAAATATGCAAAGATATGAAAAAACTATGCTTGCCAAAGACGACAAATGTGCCTGAGCTTTAGTCCTTTACACATTGCTGAGTAGTGGCAGCAATAAGTTATACTGTGAAGGTGCAAGCAAATAAATATGTAATCTACAGAGGTACAATGGAATGAATATCTGCAAGCTTCAGTGGCAGAACAACTGTCCTTCGTAGCACAGAAATTAGCGACAAGAAATATTGTTGCTGGTAACGCTGGACTAACTGTGCAAGGTGGATACATTATGACATTGAAATGCTAAAAGCACATTGCTTAACTCCACCAGGTGAGGGAAAAACCCATATTTCACATCATCAAGGCTAAGATACTGAAAGAACAAGGTGACTACCAGGAGGCAGTGCAGCTGTTGAATGCTGCAATGACACTATGCGCCGCACCAGCATCAAGTAAGTAGACTCGGAAGCATGTTGGTAAATTCACTCTGATAAAATTTCAACTCTGTAGCCACATCTCGCAAGAGCAGGAAGCAAGAGCTGACTTCAAGCGACAAGCTGTCCTTATACCTTGAGCTTGCCGATGTGTATGGCAAGCTAGACCAGCAGGTAAGCATTTAATCTTTACTGGCACTTAATCAGAGAAAAATATCTTGTTTCATTATTGAACTTACTCTGATATAAAAATATTTCACAAAAGAGCAAAAAGGAATGATGTTCTGGCTATTGGTTGTGGTACCAGGACACAAAACTATCAAGAGCCTGGTACCATACACCAGGTACCACCACAGCCCAAGTGGTACCTAGCATTCTGGTACCCAAACGGCAGATAAGAGCCATATAGCTGTAGCCACTGAGGTAATAATTCATAACTGATCACAATGAAGCAGCCAGTGAAAGAATTTTTGTCAACTTCATACATCATTCAGCTTTACATAAAAGTGAGGGCTCGGATAGTCGACATTTTGTCTACTGCACAGGTCACTGTCTTTTGACATCGAAAATGAATTGAACTTATCTTGTGTTTCTGTCACTTCAACAGCATGAGGCAGTAAGAGTGATGCAAGAAGCTGCCAATGAATTTCGAGGCACATCGGAGGAAACACGTGTGAGCATTGCAAGCTGTGAACTGGCTCTTGCAAGGGGTGACGTGGAAGAGGCCCTGTCCCTGTTGCGTAACATTGGGCCAGACCAACCTTACTTCCAACAGGCCAGAGAGAAGATGGC